TCAGATCTATAGACAATCTGTAAATATGGACTAAACCAGATCTAAACCAGGTCTAAACCAGGTCTAAACAAGGTCTAAACCAGGTCTAAACCAGGTCTAAACCAGGTCTAAACTCAACCTACAAATGACAAACCCACATTCGGCCTTTAACTGGGTTATAAATAAAACAATGATTCCTCACAGTTCTTGTTATCGTTATACTTTTACTAAAATCCTGGAACCGCGGGAGCCTCACGTTTCTCCCAGAATCCTCCTGTTCTACGAAAACAAACTCCTCCGACTCAGAGCGGCGTCGATTTCTGTTGTTTTGGACACAATTCTTTTTATGTAACCCGCTCCATCTGACGCAAAAACGACTCTTACACAAACTTTACGACTGTTTCTATCGTTCCGTCTGCGACAAAAACACAGATAATACTCATAAACAAAGTCGTAAATGTGAAGAAAATGTTATTTACACTTTACGATTCTAAGTTTTTAAACAGTTTATGCTTTTATCATTTTTTGCAGAATTAAAAAAATGAAAAGAAATTGCGATTGGTCCGTTTTGTCTAAAGAGTTTGACTGTTTTGTCTTTTCCTAACTCAAATTTTGCCTGGATACATGTTTATATTATGTTGGTCTGAATCAGAACTAGACCAGGAACAACAAAACAAGGACTAACCCAGGACTTAATCAGGACTAACCCAGGGCTAAATGAGGACTAAATCAGGACTAGACCAGGACTACGAATGGTTTAAACCAGGACTAAACTGGAATCATATGTAAACCCATTCTTAACTACAGGACTGCATCAGGACTAAATCAAGTCTAAACCAAGGCTAAACCAGGACTAAGGAAGAACTAAACCAAGACTGACCACATCAGGACTAAGACAGCACTAAAGAAATTTAAGACCTGGATTAAATTTAGTCTAAAACAGTTTTTAAGTAAGACTAAAGTAAGACTAAACTTTATCTAAACCAGATTTAAATGACTAAACCAGGACTACAGGACTAAACCAGGACTACAGGACTAAACCAGGACTAAACCAGGGCTAAATCAAGTCTAAACCTAAACTAGACAAAGACTAAACTGGTCTAGTTTAGATTAAATTCAGACTAAACTGTAAACCTATTCCAAAACTTTTCAAAACCTGGACTAAACTAGGACTACACCAGGACTAAACCAGGACTACACCAGGACTAAACCAGACTACACCAGGACTAAACCAGGACTACACCAGGACTAAACTAGGACTACACCAGGACTAAACTAGGACTACACCAGGACTAAACCAGGACTACACCAGCATTCAACTAGGACTACACCAGGACTAAACTTGGACTACACCAGGACTAAACTTGGACTACACCAGGACTAAACTAGGACTACACCAGGACTAAACTAGGACTACACCAGCATTCAAACTAGGACTACACACCAGCATTCAACTAGGACTACACCAGGACTAAACTTGGACTACACCAGGACTAAACTTGGACTACACCAGGACTAAACTAGGACTACACCAGGACTAAACCAGGACTACACCAGCATTCAACTAGGACTACACCAGGACTAAACTTGGACTACACCAGGACTAAACTTGGACTACACCAGGACTAAACCAGGACTACACCAGGACTAAACTAGGACTACACCAGCATTCAACTAGGACTACACCAGGACTAAACTAGGACTACACCAGGACTAAACTAGGACTACACCAGGACTAAACTAGGACTACACCAGCATTCAACTAGGACTACACCAGGACTAAACTTGGACTACACCAGGACTAAACTTGGACTACACCAGGACTAAACTAGGACTACACCAGGACTAAACCAGGACTACACCAGGACTAAACCAGGACTACACCAGGACTAAATCAGGACTACAGAAGTGAACCAGGACTAAACCAGGATTAAACCAAGTCTAAACCACGACTACACCATGACTAAACCAGGACTACAGGACAGAACCTGGACTACAGAACTAAACCAGGACTAAACCAGGGCTAAACTTAGTCTTAATCAAAACATTTAGACTAAACTCTAAACCTTCTCTAAAGCTTTTGAAAACTTGGACTAAACCAGGACTAAACCAGAACTGTTTTAGACCTGTTCAAAACCAGGACCAAACCAGGTGAGCTATTTATTGATTTGTCCCACTTTTCCTGACGGTCTAAAGTCTCTGTGTTATTGTCTGATTCTTCTGTGGACTAAACTCTTCATCTCACCTCGTTACAAACTCTTATATAACGAACTTCTCTTTCTAAAATGTGTTGGTCTTTAAAGGCATCATAAGACCCGGGTCAAAAGAGGACCCGGGTCAAACGAGGTCTCAGCCTGATCCAGTTTTGTTCAGCCAAAATGAACTTTAAAACCAGATACACGTCCGGAGTCGCCGGACCCAGGGGCACTGCCAGGGTCTATATTTACCCTGGCGAGTTGGCACAGCGCTCTGCTCGTGAGGCGACGATTTTAGACCACGTCATAATAGATAAATAATGACATGTTTTTATGTTAGTTACTCTGCCTTAAAGCTGCACTGTGGAACTTTTCTGGTGGAGGATCCTTCAAATGCTTTTCTCCATGCAGAAATTTTAAACAGACTTAATACAGTTATTGTTGTTATAATATATTTTTTACATCGCTGGTTCTATCACTTCCCAGTTTTACCCTTCTGAAATTATTATTATTATTAAGTTAGTTTTGTTTCATTTTATATAATTTTTTTCTGCATAAACTTAAAAATCTTATGTTTTACAGACCAAAATATTGATATATCGTTTAATGTGATGATACAGTATCGATATCGTGGGCAGCTGTATCGATATATCGCCAAGAGTATTTTTTGGTATATTTTATACACATGCAAACCTAAAAACTGCAAAAGAGAGCTGAATCAGGATTAAACCAGGACTAAACCAAACCAGGACTAAACCAGGACTAAACCAAGACTAAACCAAGACTAAACCAGGACTAAACCAAGACTAAACCAGGACTAAACCAGGACTAAACCAAGACTAAACCAGGACTAAACCAAGACTAAACCAGGACTAAACCAGGACTAAACCAAGACTAAACCAGGACTAATTCAGGACTACAGGACTTAACGTGAGTATTAGTGCAAGACATAAAAAAAAAGGCTGGGACACCCAAGACTACAAAACTAACTGCATTGTATTAAATATTGCACTCAACCAAAAATATTGCACTGTATTTAAATATTGCACATGATTAAATATTAAATATTGCACTCAGTTAAGATATTGCACTGTATTAGATATTGCACAACAGGTGGATGGAAGGAGATCAGGGGATCGAGGGATAGGAATGCTGCTTTTAATGATAATTTAATTACTGCGTGTTTTAAACATTGTTAATGGGCTGGAACCTTGTGATGTGAAACACATTTATAATATGGGGCGGTTATGGAACAGGTTGGTTAATATTCCAGACACAAGATTCACCAAACATATATTTAACTGGAGTCTGTTACATAAATCGTCCTGGAGTAGACAGGCTGAGAACATTTTTGAGGACACAGATTTCAGGGTAATTTATAAAAATAAATTAATCTGTAGTATCAGACAAACTAGGAACATGTACTTTGACAAGTGTAAAGAGATGTGGCATATTTTAATTAAAGACGGTTGGCACTCTGAACTTGAGCAGAGGTCAGAGGTCAGCATGTGCCCCGCTGAGGTGTGGGACTCTGCCTCTGGAGACGAGACATTTCACTCAGTCCCAGAGGAGGACCACACGTGTCTGCGACGTAAAGAGTGTGACACTGAAAATGAAATGGATTTTCTGTTCTACTGTCCTTTGTATCATGACCTGCGCTGTCAGTTTTTGTCTCATATTTCTAACTGTTTGTTGCTGTGTCTGATGAGGAGAGACTGGAGGATTTGTTTAAATGTAATGTTTTCAAGTTGGCTCAGTTTGTGTTGAAAGTCTGGGACCTCTGTAAGACGACACTTTATGTTTGATGTGTGATCTGTCTGCAGTGTTGGGGAGTAACAGATTACATGTACCGGCGTTACGTAATCAGATTACAAATTATGAGTAACTGTATTCAGTTACAGTTACTGTTTCAGTGAGTGGTAATTGGATTACAGTTACTTTGTTGAAAACACGGCGGTATGTTCCTGTTTTCACATTTTGGGCTAAGCCATGACTAAACCAGGTCTGAACCAGGTCTGAACCAGGTCTAAACAATATGACACTAACAGTAGGTGGACATAGCAGTGATCTCATATAAAAATTAGTTCTCGATCAATAATATTTTGAATATGTTTAAGTAAAGACTGGATTTTTTATTGTCTTTCAGAAGATAAAAAATCTCATGTTAACAGATCCTCATCTTTGCTTCTCTACAGCAAACAGTTGTCTATTCATGGAGACTTGGGCTCAACAGACAATTTGAAGACAACAAACAAGAATTTTCAGGATGTGGTCGCTACATTCATGTAGTTTTAAAAAGCATGACAATATCAAGTAATCCAAAGTATTCAGATCATGGTACTCACTTTAAGTAATTTAATAGATTACGTTACAAACTACATTTTGGGATATGTAATCTGTAATCTGTAGGGGATTACATTTTAAAAGTCACCTTCCCAACACTGTCTGCTCATTGTTTCATGCGGGCTGGGCAGCAACTAAATGGTGCATGACACTAAATAAGTCAAATAAACTAAGACAAATAAACTAAACTAGTTAATCTTATGTTTAGGAATAAAATCTGGGTAACTATCCAAACTTTTATCCAAAAAAACCACCGTGATCTTTGTGGATTCGTGAGGGAGCGAAATGCCTCGGATCTTGGCCAATCCCTTTTATCACGAGGTGTGGGCGGGGCTTGTCACCGGCTGGATCAATGACACTCGCCTCTGATTGGCCCGCGTAAATGGACGTCACATTTCTTTTCACATGAACCAATGACGTCTCCAAATTCCAGTAAAGGGGCGGGACGTCGGCTCATTCTTTAGAGCGGGGGCGCTTCCTTACCGGCATTTCAGTATTAACCCGCAACAGGGGAACATCGCTCGTATTTATTTATTTATTGTAGTTTTTTTTAAGTTAATCGCAACCAAGAATGCTCGGCCTGTGCCTTTACGTGCCCGTGTCCAACGCCGACCAGGTGGAAGTGGAGTATTTCGAGTCCAACGGGCTGCCTTCGGAGCTCAAGTCGCTTTTCAACAAACTGAGCGTGTTTCTTCCCTCCCAGGAGTTTTCAACTTACCAAAAATGGAGACAGGTACGAAAATGTATTCTTGATTTCTACACTGATCTCTCTACACGCGTCAAATCGCTTCCTGTGGGCTAGTCTGATTACCCACTTTCACAAATCCAATTAGTTTGACCGCGTTTTAAATTTCCGGTCGTCTGGGGGATTAGCTTTTTTAGCATCGTTAGCACCGGCTTTTTTTTTTGGAGCCAGTACGAGTAGGCCTTGCACGTGAAACTGTCAGAAAAGTGACGTTTTGGCGGTTTTTAGCTTCAAAAAATGTTTAACGATGACTTAATTCACATATCGAGCTCTTAAAGTTGCTTGTTTGTAGCGATTGCATGGGAAAAGTAGTGTTTTAAGAGTTTTTTTTTTTTTCACGTTGGCGCGCTGTCTGCGGTATGAATGAACGCGGCTTCAACGTAAAAAAAAAAAAATGCAGCATGAGAAAAAAAATATTAATAAAAGATATGGTAATCTGACAGGTATATTATCTCAAAAAGCACGCTAGTTCACAGATTGCGCTAACAAAAAAAAAATAAAAAAATTCCTCGTTTCTCCTTTAGGGGTTTTAAACTATTGCATCATTTTTTTTCTGGTACTCTGCTCAAAAACGCTCCAAGACAAACCAGATTTTTCCCACAAATTTGCATTGCATATTAGTTTGCGTGTGGTTTTAATAATGCATGATCATGAGATTAATGCTTGAGTGCGGAATTGTCTACATCTGCCCCGAAAAAACCGCAGAAACATGTGATTCTGTGCGGTTTTATCATTGCACGAAAGCAGAACGGGGAATTTGCATGCAGGAAACGAGTGCTTGTTTTATTGTGCTAAATTTGGAGCTTAAAGTTTCTTATTTTAGCTGCAAAAACGCCTTATTTATGCCATTGCTGCGCTGTGGGTTCTATCAAGCGGATTTGATATTAGTTTTAATCAAAGTTTGCACCTAAATGAATTTTCTGTCTTAAAATGCTTGTGAAATGGGTATGGTAAATGTTTAAGTAGCATTTAACCCCAAAATGGATGCATTAATGTCATTTTCATTGGAATTTGTATTGGAAATCATTAACCACTGCACCGCAATTGAACTAACAATTTGAAGTGGGTTTTTCCTAATTTTCTTGCATTGTTTTGGGTAAAAATCTCTTCTTACAAATAAGTTTTACCAAATATTTGCTGTTTTATTGGAAATTCCTGTCCATCGTTGATGTAAATGATTAATTAACGTGTTGAAATCTAAATTGTGAGACTTAAGACTGTGGAATTTTCCGTTTTCTTGCAGAAAGCAGATCAGGGGTGTCCTCTGTCTTATACAATGTACAAAGGGTTTAAAGATTAATCAACCAAATGCTTAAAGAAATTGCTATTTGAATGGTCGCAAATGGCATATTGCGCAAAATCTGTCTAAAAAATTTTAAAAAAATGTATAATGCTAGTCTAATTTTGCTGTTTTGTTTGCGTTTTAATTTGAAATCCGTCCATCATTTGGGTTTGGACAGGCTCTATTGATTGTTTTAACCTCTTGTTTTGTAAAGTCATGACCTTTTGGAGAGATGATTAAACGAGGTCCCAGGATAATTAGTGTCTTAAATTATAGTACAGCAATGTTTGGAGACAGGAGGTGGAGGAGGGGTGGGTAATTTGAGCCTGATGCCCCGTCAACAGCTTTGAAGTTTCTGCTTACAGTCTGTGGACGACCTGAATCTCCAAGTTTGTGGTTTATACAAAGAAAGGACATGCTGTAATCCGGGTTGTCTGCTCTGAGGTTATGATAATAGGAGATAAACTCATAATCTTATCATAACTTGTAAAAATTGTGTTTGTTCCAGAAACCGCTTTGATAAGAAACTGCTTGATTAGAAGCACAGCTATCGTTGTGATTTGATTCTCAAGAAAATTGTGATGATTAAATTTATAACGGCAATGCAATAAAAGTTTATTTTCCTCAATTAAATGATAAAAATGAGTGTACAACAACCTAACACATGACAAAAAAGGACTTTCAAGAGTCTACAAACACCATTCCCGCTTGCAATTTGGATTTTGTTTAAATTAAAAATCTCATTCTTGACTCTTGGACAACTTGGAGAAACTTTATTAATCCATAAAGGAAATTATTTGGACATAGTAGCTCACGCATCACAATATAATATAATAAAAAAGATAAAAATATAAATGGTAACAATAAATTCCAGTAATTTACAATTCATTTACTATTTGTTATTATATTGTGACTGACAACATTTCAAAAAGTCAATTCTTATCTTGGCTTATCCTTAAGATGAGTCACATTTTTATATTGGACAATTTGATTTAAGTCTTTTACACCTCTTAAAATCTCTTTTAAAGTGCGTTGTGTAACTTTTCTGATGCTTTTCTCCATGGAAATAATATTGATTCATCTGAAATGTTCCACATTATGGCATTAAACCTTTCTATCTTCACGGAGACCAAGTTCAAATCTGCGGAGAAGTGACCCAGTGGCTCAGTCAGAATGCCTCGTTTTTAGTATTTTTGAGCTATAAAACCACCTGTAATTGAATAAAAGTAAGGCAGAGCTGTTTAAAGTCATACTGTGGAACATTCCAGGCCGAGAAGTTACATAATGCACCTTTTTAAAACAACGGGGCCCCACACACTCGCCGTACTGTTCCGCGTCTAATCTTGAGTCTCACATTCACTCTTATCTGGAGTTAAACGCGTCTTTGTTCTCACCCTTTGGAGTAATTTGTTCTTTTTAGAGACACATGTGAAAACTCTTAATGAGCTGGAGGGGCCCACACCTTCACGCAGCCTGATACACGGACAATTTATGCGTGAAAGAAACCCCGCGAGATTGGCCTAAAGGTGCATTGCGTAACTTTTTTGCTAGAGCGGCCACCACCTGTTTCAACTTCATGTATGTTGTAGTTTTTTCATGTAATGTTCGACAGTATTTTTCGTATTTCGCATTTAATTTAACTTTCTCCATTGACTAAGCATGCCATGTTAGGTTACAGGTCACATCTGTGGAAAAGTGGGCCCGCTCGTGTACATTTTTGCGGTCATTTTGAGGAATTAAAAAGACGTAATTGAATAAAAATAATAAAATGCATAGAGTAAAAGTGTTTGACAGACGCTTCTGCAGGAATTTGTGCAACGCAGCTTTTTAAAGATGCCAATTTGACGCGTGAAAATTAACGCATCACAAAAACTGGACTTAAATTATGTGTAAAATTTAACGATCTCCATTGACTAAGCACGCCAGGTCAAGTTACAAGTCAGATCTGTGCAGAAGTGGGCCCGCTCGTGTACTTTTTTACAGTAATTTTGAGAAATAAAGAAACGTAATTGAGTAAAAATGGTAATAGATACGTGGAGAAAAGCGTTTAACGGACTCTTCACAAGAAAAGTTACACAACATACCTTTTCTAAAGACTCCAATTTGATGCGTGAAAATTAACACATTGTAAAAACTGGACTTAAATTGTGTGTAAAATTTAACCCGTCCCTAGTTAACAAGTTGATTTGGAAAAATGAAGGGCTGTAAAGTTCATAAAATTCTAATCGGAAAGACGACGTAATCAGTATTAGTATCAGTATCAGCTTGGGTGTGGTGTAAATGGAAAAGTTAACGGCTAATCTCACCAGGAAAATAATCTAGTTTTGGAAAAATCCTGACAAAAGAAAGATAAAAAATTTACCAGGCATGTTAAAGATAAATCGAAACCCATTCATGAGTTTTAAAAAGACAGAAAAAAAAACCCTGGACACCAGGAAGGAAATGCCAAAAATGTCTTAAGTCTTACTCATCGCCCAACCCTAGATTCTTGTATTCTTGATGTTCTAGAGGTGGTGGAATGTTTCACAGTATGGCATTAAACCTTTCTAAATTCGTGGAGATTAAACTAAACCAAATTACAGGTCAGACCTGCGGAGAGGCGATCCCTCTCAGGTTTTTCTAGGTGTTTCTGAGCTTTAAAACCACCTGCAATTGAATAAAAATGTAAAGTTGAGCTGTTTAACGTCACACTGTGGAACATTCTGTGGCGTATCCATGGAAACGAGCAGGTGGCGTACCCCTAAACGTAAAGCTGCATAGCGTGCCTTTTGTAAAATCCTACAGAGGCCACCCCAGTGTCCCCCGGCGACCTCATTGGCAGACTTCCTGAGCGAGTAATGGCGCTCAGTTTGGTTTAATCCGGTCTACCCACGAAACGGGGCCAAGTCCAGACCTGCTGATACCAGATTCCAGCCCTGGACTTGTGACCTGGAGGGTTCAATTCCCGAGGGACAGACAGAGAGAACGACCTCGCGCCAGGATTTTTAGTGAGGCAAGAGGGGGGAGGGGGAAGAGATGGGGGGGATGGGGTGACACTAAATGTTTAGAGTTTACGGGGGAAGCCTACTCGGGTTGCAGGCAGAAGAACACCCCGGGAGTTATTTTGGGCTCAAAGGGCAAATTGTGCGTGTCTGGCTGCGAAATATTGTACAGTGTGAAAATGTCAGGTGTTAAATGACAGAATTATGAATGACCTATTACACTAAATCCAACTCAGTGATAGAATTCTAGTAAAAAAAAAAGGCTGAAATGATGAAACGATGATGAAATGAAACGAAATGATGATGAAACTCGGTGATATGTCATGATACTTCATTGCTCAACTCTCGATTCAAAAAGCTTTTGAATTGATATTTTAAAAGTCCTTTTTTAAGATTCTGCTACTTCTTACAGTTCTCATCATTTTAAAAGTTTAATAAATTGTATTTCGTCCAGTTTTATTCTCGGGAACGTGTCCTCGACCATAATATTTAGGGCTGAGTATCATTAAGAAGTTACCGATATGATGCATGCTTTGATACACAGGCCATGATACGATCCATACTTTTGATTCGATACGATACATTTCAAAGCAATTCGATGCGGTTCAGTAAAAATAAAGGTTAAACCATGTCTGTGATACTAAAAGTCTTTGTTAAACCACTTTTTGTACAAAGTTCATATGAAACACAAACAATTTAATCCTCAAAACGGTGAAAATGTCAAATGTGTCGCATAAACGAGCAACAAAACTGTAGCTGTCACAAAATAATTAAGTCAAATATACCAAAAAATACTCTTGGTGATATATCGATACAGTATCGATATCGTGGGCTGCTGTATGATGACATTAAACAATACACTATATCGATATTTCAATATTTTTGCACAGCCTTAATTATATTTGTAATTATTGATAAATCACAATATATCGTCCTTTGTTTGACGTCAGAATTTTTTGTCATTATTTCTCAAACTAATAGGCATTTTTCAATCATTTTTGTTAGTACTTGTGCAAATATTTGGGCATTTCTCAAACAGATTAGCAATTTTTTATTTACATTTTTGACAGGAAATTTTTTGTGTTAAATTGTTCCTATGACTTGATAAAACTCAAATGGTGACAGACAGAAGAACACCTTGAGAGTTATTTGGAGTTCGAAGGGCAAATTGTTTTAAATATATAATTGAAAATGTCAGTGGGAAAATGCCAAGTGTTCAACAGTAGAGGTGTGAATGACCTATGACACAAAATCCAACAAAGCGATAGAATTATTGTAAAAATGGCTGGGTTTTTTTTCAATATTTTTGCTCACTTGTTTGAGAAATGTCCAAATATTTGCATGTTGTTTTTTTTTTTTCAAATTTACATTTTTAACTGTACATTTTGTGTGTTAAATTGCTGCTCTGACTTGTTAAAACTCAAACGGCGACAGACAGAAGAACACCCTGGGAGTTATTTTGAGCTCAAAGGGCAGATTGTTAAACATGCAGTGTGAAAATGCCAGGTGTTTAACAGTAGAGTTGTGATTGACCTATTACACTAAATCCAACCACGCAACAGATAACACCTTAGGGAGTTATTTTGAGCTCGAAGGACAAATTGTGTGTGCCTGTTTGGCATTTTCACATTTAGTAACCAATGTGCAGATGCCAGGTGTTAAACAGTAGAGTTGCGAATGATGTATTACATAATTTTACAGTAAAAATGGGTGAAACATTGAGAAAATTACAGTCATTATGTCCATTTCTCAAACTAATTGGCTTTTACATTTTATTTTTGTTATGACTTGTTAAAACTCAGATGTGTCAGACAGAACAACACCTTGAGTTATTTTGAGTTCAATGGGTAAATTGTGCATGTATAGTTGCTAAATGTTATACAGAGTGAAAATCCTCGGTGTTAAATAGTTGAGTTAGGGTAGAGTAGAGCAATAAAATTATGTAAAAATGGGTGAAGCGTTGAGAAAATATTACAGTAATCGTTTCAAAGTCCTAGTTGCAGATATGAGAAGTTGACCTCAGTGTATTTGCCAATCTAGTTATGCAAATATTTGAACATTTCTCAAACAAGTTAGTACATTTTTTTTTTTCTATTTACATTTCTGACTGTGCGTTTTTGTGTTTTAAATTGTCACTCTGACTCTTTAAAACTCACCATTTTAAGTTTTAACAAATGATAATTGGAGTAATGTTGGTAGTGAAAGTATTAGTAGTGGCTTCTTTTGTTTTGGGACATTTAAAAAAAAAAAAATTACATTTTTTTGTTTACAGAAATCGGTCCAAGCGGAGGAGAGCGGCGCGGATGGTCAGCTGGACTTCGAGGAGTTCGTTCACTACCTCCAAGACTACGAGAAGGATCTGAAGCTGGTGGTGAAGAGCTTTGACAAGAAGAATGCAGGTACGAATCACCGGAATGTTAATGATTTTGAAACGGCCGACGGGCATGTAGCTTAAATGCAGAAAACTTGAGAGGTTAGTAGAAAGTAGTAGCCCGGATTCGTTATTTGCCGTTGTTTCTTTGGGTATAAGTCAAAATTACGACTAAAACCCAGCTCTAGATTAGTTCTTTAGCAGTCTAATTTTGCTTAAATCTGATTTAGAGTAATTGAAAGTGTGTGGCTGGAATGCGAGTTGTTGCAGTTGTTACTTTGGACCACTGCAGTTCGTTTTTTCTCGTTTTTAAGACGGTAAAAATCAGGCACTCGGGGTTTTAAACAAAGATTTACCAAAACCACGAAAACCAGAAAACAAAAGGCTAGGAACTGACTGAGACATTTTAGTTTTATTTTTGGTCTTTTTATTCACATTTTCTCATGTTTTGTCTCTCGTTTCGAAGGTTACGTCGACCCCAAAGAGTTCGTACAGTCCCTCCGCGACCTTGGAGTCCACATTTCTCTACAACAAGCTGAAAAAGCGCTCGCAAGGTAAAGACTCTGAATGGTATAATCTCGTAAGAATCCACCCGTGACCGTGAATAGGACTTATTTTTTTTTGGTTTTGTTTTGTCTCTTTCAGCATGGACAAGAACGGCCTGATCACGATTAGCAGCAAAGACTGGAGCAACTGTGCGGTGGCAGTGGAGAAAACGGAGAATATCCCCGAGATCATCCTCTACTGGAAGCATTCTACGGTGAGGACTGCACATCAGTTAGGGTTTATAGTTGTAAAGGTAAAATTCCCTTAACTTTTCCCATTTAAAAACAATTGGTTAAGTGGTTATGGGTAAAATTTGGTCAGAAATAACTGTATTCAACCAACTTTGCTGGTTTTATAAAGTCTTAGAAATGTTATGACTTAAAAAATTCCTCATTCTTTATTCATTTTCATCAGTAAAAACTTAAATTTAGACAGAATTAGAGTAAAAATGGCAGAAAATTATGGTAATTATTTGTATTCAAAGTCCTAGTTGCAGATATAGAAGATAGGTTGACCTTTTTTTTTTTTCCCAGTATATTTATGCAATTTTCTTTTAAATTTTTGACAGCGCTTTTCTAACTTTTCAAAAATTTTTGCAATTTTTTGGTTTAAAATTGCTTCTCTGACTTGTTAAAACTGAAATTGCGAGTCATTTGACCTTGACACTTTTGCGTTCAACCATCCTATATCCATCTTATTTTTTTTTACAGTTCAGTGTTATAACAGCAAAGTACAAAACTAAGTGGCAAAAATATCCATGGGGTTCAGAAGGATGAAAAATTACTGCTGTTTCCAATATAACTTTTAAATGGGAGAATGTTGCTTTTTAACAGAAACCTGAAGGCCAGAGAATGATTTAAAAATATTAATTTGAATTTTTGTGAAATTTGCCATTAAAATTGATGGGAATTTTACCTCTGGAACTTTGCATGCACCTGCTCATTGTTAGACTTTTGTAGTGTGTAATATGTGGAATTGGTAATTAACAAGAAATAAAACTTTCAAAACAAAAACTGAAAGCCATTTAAAACAAAAAAAACAAAAAAACATGAATTAAATAATTTGAAAAAATCATCTAAATAATAATAAAAAATTAATAAAAATAATAAATATATATATATATATATATATATTAAAATAAAAATAATAGATAAACTAAATAAAAATAGATCATGGTAATAAAATTCAAAAATGCTTTCAAATGAATGGAAATTTTATCTCTGGACCTACACACTCGTCTTTCCAGCACATTCATTTCGATTTAGCCACCGGAATTAAAGAATTAAACTTTAATCTGACACAATTAACCGTCCTTCCTCCTGATGAACTTCTCCTCGTTAGAGTCCCAGCGATGCTCTGATCCCTCGGTGACGTGGGGGGGGATTAGGTCTGGACCATTATGTAAAATGGAAGCAGGTGGGGCGCTGCAGGAGCTATTTAAACCTGATCTCGTCCTCGTTGGATAACTGTCGTCAAGAGCGCCAAGAGACACCGCGATCCCAACCGAAATAAACCAAGGCCCCAGCTCTAGAAAACTGGATGTACCCTCGGATAACTAGGCCAATGCAGTAAAAACTTTTATCAGTTATATAAGACTGAAGGGCGACCATTTTGTACATTCTGTTTGTGTTTTTGAAATGAGACGCCCAAAAAAAGCGTGTAAAAGATAAGTCTAGGTCAAAGTGCGAATGACGGGTTTTTATGAGTCTATATTTTTGATGTAAAGTTGGATTGTGCAACTTTTCTGGTGGAGGGTCAGACAAATTTTTTTCTATCTTCAGAGACCAAACAAAATAAAGTTTCTAAGTATTTTTGACCTTTAAAACCACCACGTAAAGTCGTTTAATGTCATACTGTGGAACATTCCAGGAAAAATTACACAATGCACCTTTACGTTGGTGGAACAATACCTGTTGTAAATATAAATTATAGTTTTGCATCAGTCAAGAAGCAATTTGAGAAGAAAAGTAGAAAGTATGTTAAAGTACAAGAATTCTTTCCAAAAGTTCAACAGTTTACACAAAATTTTCTGATACTTTAAACATGATTTCGACTAAATTAAGGCGATTTCTTATCATTTTATTCCTCCAAAAAAAAAAATAAAAAAATTTGTGTACATTAGAGGAGTTTTGCATGGTTGCTAGGCAAGTTTTGAATTCTATAGTGTGATGTCATGATCTCCAGTAAGAAAGTAATATTTTAAACCTAAAAAATGGTTAACTTGGGAGAAAAAAAAGTAAATATTTCGTTCAAATTGTAAATGTAATAATCTTATCTGTGTCTTCGTAAAATCAGTAACCCATACACTTTAATGACAAAGAAACGGTGTGTGGATTTTTGCAGTTTTCTAATTCGTACTAAACGTCTTTCGTGTCTCGCTCAGATCTTTGACGTTGGCGATAACCTGCTGGTCCCCGACGAGTTCACGCTGGAGGAGAAACAGACGGGGATGTGGTGGAGACACCTGGTGGCCGGAGGAGGAGCCGGAGCCGTGTCCAGGACGTGCACGGCGCCTTTGGATCGTCTCAAACTCATGATGCAGGTAAAACTTGTGCAGGATATTAAATGTTTTTAGAGAGAACGTAGAGCAGAAGTAGAAGCTGTTTGGAGAATCGGAACACTCAAAAGTATCACAAGTTCACAAGAGTCAGGTTTGACTTTTCGGAGGTTGAGGGCCTTTTCAGAGGTTGCGGTTTTTGAGTCGATTTAGACCCTTTAACCATAGTTTCATAGTTGGTACCTCAGTATATTTGAAATTTTAAGTTTCTAGTTTGATTTTAAAGGTTGGATATGGGTGAGGCTGTACACAAGGTCCAAATCTCGCCAAATATTTTGCAGTTTTATTGTCAAATGACGAAAATATTTACACATTTTTAGGTTAATGAACTGTTGAGAGAAAAAAACACACTATTACACACTCAAATAAAGTAAATAACATGTTTTTCTAATGTTTCAAAACCAGCAAAGCTGACGTCCAAACTTTGGAACAGAATCCCAGAGGACTAAACTAAATATGTACATAGTGACATCATCATGTGACTTCGCACCACGACCTTTTGTTTTTGACCTCACGTGGTGGACCAGTTTGAGCAATGCACCACTTTGAAATGCCACACGCAGAGAAACTGAAATCCAATAACGTTGTAAAGTGAAGGGAAAGGTCACATTTGGAAAAGTATTTGCGATAAACACAAACCTTACACGAGTCTGTTCTGAAACGCATGTGATTCTTGTGGTAAAATATCCTCATTGAGGGTCCGTCGCTTTCTTGTTTCTATGGATATGTCATTAGAATGTTCCACGGTATGGCATTAAACAGCTCTACTTCACATTAATTCAATTATTGACCGAGTCTCCAACGGAAAAATTTCACAATTGACCTTCATATTAGCATTTCAAATTTCAGTCTAAACTAAAGGGTTGGTTAGTTTTTAATGGACCAAAACGCGGTTGGGACAGGACGTGGAGTTCTCCGCAGAGGACAGTTTGTACAGAACTGCCGCCTCTGTGATTAGTTAATGATAACAAATAAAATACAAGTTCTGCGTGACTACAGTCCAATAAAAACTTCATTACAATAAAGACTATAAAGGTGCATTGGGCAACTTTTCTGGTGGAGGGCCCGTAAAATGCTTTTATTCTCCATGAAGATGCTATTGCTTTCTCTGGAATGTTTCACAGTATGGTATTAAACCTTTATGACTCCACAGATCTGACCTGTAACTTGGTCTGGTTTGGTCTCCGTGAAGAAAGTTTTTTTTTATCGGTATTTTTGAGCTGTAAAACCACCTGTAATTGAATAAATGCAGAGTAGAGCTGTTTAATGTCACACTGTGGAACATTCCGGAGTAGTTACATCTCCATAGAAACAAGCAGGCGATGGAACCCCCCCTCCCAAAAAAGTTACAGTGCAAGAAATAAAAACTTCATTATAATCGAAAAATATATACATTTTAAGTATGATATAGAAATGATTAGTCTAAATAAAATAAATTGCTATTTTCTCTCCCAAAAAAAAAAAATCTCCCTAACCCTATCTCTTTTTAGTCTAAAAAATAAATAAAAATTAAACATCATTACTAAAGTTTGCTTCTTAAAAAAACAAACTCAATTTCCTCAATAATAAAACCAACTCCTCATTTAATATACCTTTTAATTAGTCTAAATAATAAAAAAAAAATTATAAACATTTTATTAAAACTTCATTACTACAGTTTTCTTCTCCAAAAAAACCTCTGACGACTGATTTAATTTCAGTCAAAAAATATATACATTGATTTGATTATAGATAAATTATTAGACTCCAGTTTGCTTCTCCAAAAAATAAATAAATAAATAAATCTTTATTTCCTCAATAAACCTGACGACTCTTCATTTAATCCTCGTCATAACTCCAGTGCACCTGTAAACTCCAAATCGTTTGCTCAACACTCGTTTTATCGATTACCATAAGTCTGTCAATAATTCCTCCACCTCTTTCCAAATGGGCCATAGTTCGGGCTCCGGGATCGGCCAATCGCGCGCCTTTGTCTCGCCCCCCGCACCTTTTCAGTCAGCGTCAACGCCGGCCAACTGAACTCGCAGTGCGTCACCGGCTGGACTCGTGCCCCTTTGGCGTGTTGTAATTTTTATTTTATGGAGTCTAAAGGTGAAAACACGACCAGCCTGATGCCGCAGTTTGGCTTCGGGGCTGAACTTTGTGTTCCAGACGGGGGCGGGATAAGAAGTACAGTGAGAAAATGTGTCTAATCTGTTTTTAAAAATTAATATCCGTATCAAATATTTGGATAATATTATGACTATCCAACCAAAAAATTTCTAAAATGCATCTGTACGTTTCTTAGTTGGGTTCTTGTATAAAACCAAATGGAAATGCTAGCTAAAATTAACCAAATTGCAAAAAATAGGGCAACCAACACACACTGAAGGTCGTTTATAATTAGTTTTTTGCTCTTCCTTTTCTTGTATTGTCTGAACAATTCTCAGTAGTGTCAGATCGTTCTGTAATTCTCCTTAGTCCAGCCCGGGTTGTGTAATCGGGAGTCTAATCTTAAACCTGCTTCCGAGGAAAAAGGAGGCGCAGTGTAGAACAAAGATAAACTTGTGTGTGTTATCAGTGATGCCATAAAACAGCTGTTTCTGGGTCATAAGATTTAACATTCTGACGGCTTCTTGAGAAAATGAATGTTTAACTTCACCTTCAAACTCCTCTAGGACTTTATTAACTGTGCCGTAATATCTGTTATAAGGTTAATTAAGGTTTAGTTATTATGAAGTGGTGCATGAAGTACACAATTTTGTCTGTAAAAGTGCAGATACAGGTGCAAAAACTTACTCAAGTAAAAGTATCACATGAAAAAACCTATTGAAAGAAAAGACCATTTTAGAACAATTAAAGAAATGTGATTTTGATGAAGAATTTATCAGATTTTACGTTATTCTAGCTGTTTTTGTTTTTAATTTGCTCAAAGTTGGGTCAAACTTGTACTGACGTTTCAGCAGACCTCACACCATAAAGAAAAGTACTTTTTACTTTTCAGTCCAGATTTAAAATGTAGTAGAGTAGAAAGTACAAATACATGCACTCAAATGCAGTAAAGTATTTACTGTAAAATCTACTTAAGTACACATTTTTAGGCATCTGTACTTTAACTTTTTTTACTTTACTTTTTTATCTTCTGTCGCTCCACTGGGGTCTTTAAATTGAGTCGGTTAATTGGACTAAATGGATGTCTGGAAAACTAGGGTGTGCTGAAAGATGGAAAACCTGAAAAATAAGGGTGTACAGAAGTCTGAAATTTAGAAAACTAGGGTGTTAATCTGGAAAACCTGGAAAACTAGGATGTCTCAAAAAATGGGAAACTAAAAACTAGGATGCCCCGAAAGCTGAAAAAGCAGAAAAACTAGTGTCTTGAAATCTAGAAAACCTTAAAAAAAAAAAAGTGTGCTGAAATCTGAAAAACCTGGAAAACTAGGGTGCTCGGAAGCTGAAAAAGCAGAAAAACTAGTGTCTTGAAATGTGGAAAACCTACAAAATATAGGGTGTGCTGAAATCTGGAACCTTGTGAAACTAGGGTGTCTGGAAAGCTGGAAAAGCAAGAAAACGAGGGTGTCTGGAAAGCTGAAAACCCTGGAAAAACTAGTGTATCTCGAGACCTTAATCTGTTAAACCGTGGGTGGTGTGTGCCGTGACCTGTTGCGTAACCTGCGCCCGCTCTTGTGTTTCAGGTGTACGGCTCCAGGTCCAATAACATGTGCATAATGAGCGGCCTGACCCAGATGATCCGGGAGGGGGGCACCCGCTCGCTGTGGAGGGGCAACGGCGTCAACGTGCTCAAGATCGCCCCCGAATCGGCGCTCAAGTTCATGGCCTACGAACAGGTACGTGACGAAACTCCTTTTTATCTGTTCAACTTCTTTTGTTTTTTTTCTATAAATGTCTAATTTTGTGTTTTTGGTTTTCAGATTAAACGGTTGATTGGCAGCGATAAGGAGACTCTGAGCATCTTTGAGCGTTTCGTGGCCGGTTCTATGGCAGGAGTGATCGCACAGAGCACAATCTACCCAATGGAGGTGTGTAGGACTGTGAATTGAGTTGTCGTATCGGCTCTTTTTGAAATTCTGTTAAAGTTTTTGTTTTTGTTATGTTTAGCCGAGGTTTCTTTCTGACTCCTGAGTTTTTTTTGTTTTGTTTAGGTGCTGAAGACTCGTCTGGCTCTGCGTAAAACGGGGCAGTACTCTGGGATCTCAGACTGCGCCAAACAGATCTTCAAATCAGAAGGGCTCTCTGCGTTCTACAAAGGCTACGTCCCGAACATGTTGGGAATCATCCCCTACGCCGGCATCGACCTCGCCATCTACGAGGTGAGAAACGACAACACCGTGAAACCTCTCCTCCTCTTTTTCTTCTCCTACAAATGTTTAACGTCGTCTCTCGATTCCAGACTCTGAAGAACCACTACCTGCAGCAGTACAGCTCCAACTCGTCAGACCCGGGCGTGGTGGTGCTTCTGGCCTGTGGGACCGTCTCCTCGACCTGTGGGCAGCTCGCCTCGTACCCCCTCGCTCTGATCCGGACTCGCATGCAAGCACAAGGTAAAGAACACGACCTGGAGATATGCTTAAACCCTATTCGTGCAGGACGATGCATACAGTGACGCGTGCCAGGTTTCTGTGTCCTGTATGTATGTGACGTAAACGTGTACACGACCTGAGCAGATCTGACCAGAGTTTTGCGACTTGGGCAGTGTAGACGGAAATGCTACAGCAGAGGGTGGTTTCAGATTTTTGCGTTTTTAAAGCCCCCAAAACCCAATCACCGTCAAAATGAAAGGCACTTCTGATAAAATATTTTGACATTTTTACCCGCAAGCGTTCTCGTGTAAACAGGTCCTCAGGCTTTAGAAAGTCGTAAAACCAAATTTTTTCTCTCTTTATCCAAATTGAAAAACAATAAATTATATAAAATGACCAAAAAACGCATTTTAATCTACATTGAAATTCAGTTTTAAATGAATGATAAAAGTAGTTTGTGAGCCAAAAATTTTAAGAAAGTAAAAATCATAGTCACCAGAAATGCTTTTCAAACCAAACTCAACTAAAGTCCACATTTGCCCTCATATTTTACTGAGAAAACTATAACTTTACGGTTCTTCCTCTCTTCCAGCGGCGTGCGAGGGCGACAACCGCGTCTCCATGTCGGGCTTGTTCCGGCAGATCCTCCAGAGCGAAGGACCGTCGGGTTTGTACCGAGGACTCGCCCCCAACTTCCTCAAAGTGATCCCCGCCGTCAGCATCAGCTACGTGGTCTACGAGCACATCAAGACGCAGCTCGGGGTCACGTCACGCTGAGGAAATCCCACCGAAGGAAAAACATAAACTGAAACACAAACTGAAACACAACACATATCCCAGAATCCAGAGGGACACTTCTGAGGTTCGAACGGAGCTCAAATCATTCTGTGAATGTTGGAGACGGACGACGACGGCGATGATCATGAGGAGGAGGATTAGGAGAAGGTAGATGCTGCTGTTTTGGTTTTCCCACTGTTACAGATCATTGAAAGTGTCTGTTTACTTGCCGCCCGAGCTTCAATTCCAAGAGAAAAACTGCTAAGAATGTACTTTTTTTTTTTTGGAGGCAAGTAAACGAAAATGGATGAAGTAGCAGTGTGGAATAACAGTGTGTCAGATTTCCCCGATTTGACCAATTTCAATTTTACAAACAAAAATACTTGTGTTAGTTACTAAATGTGTTTAGTTCCATGAAATTTTACACAATTTGAGCAAAAATGACCTAAAAATGGATGGTAGCAGTGTGGAATTAAAAGGGAAATTGTTCAATTTATTTCTGAAATTTAACACAATTTGAGCACAAACGACCTTCAAAATGTGGTTAGTTCTGTGAAATTTGAGCAAAAATGACCAAAAAACACACACAAAACAAAAATAGCTGGTAGCAGTGTGGAATTAAAAGGGAAATTATTCATTAGTTCTCTGAAATTTGACCAAAAATTAGTTTTAAAAAACCCTATAAAATGTCTTAACGTCCAGAATTCTAATTTACAACTTTACACATCTATTAATCTGTTCAGAACTCGACCCTTAAATGTGAAAAAGTAACGAAACACTTCATTATAATGGAAATTCAAATCCATTTTCTGCATTAACTCTGTACTTACCGTATAAAATCTACCAAAAGCGGCATCTACCTTTTTGTTTTAACTTAGAATTACAGTTAAAAAGAAGGAAATATTACGTACTATGGACTCTGTGAGCTCAGGTTTCGGCGGAAAACGTACAGATTTCCGCAGCTGCTATTTATACGTAGATATATTTTACTAGATACCGAGAAGCTTTCGGCGCGAGCGAACGTCGGAAACGGAAACCCGAGGGACCAAAAAACGCTCTTCTGGCTAATAAAAATTAAGGTGCCTGTTGGAGTTTGAACGTGGAGAATCGTCATGTCAGTTTAGCGAAATTCATAACGAACGCCCTTTTTTTTTTTTTTTTTTTTTTTCGAAAGCAACTTAACGTATGGCAGAGAATGTGATCTTAAGAATCCGAATATCCTTTTTCCCGTGTTGTGGAGAAGCGTGAAATCCCAAAATAGAGAAGTCCTTTTGCACAATTGTGAGTCTGAAAACTTCTCTCCCTCTTTACCTTTACGAATGAATGTACGAGCGGGGAAGTTCTTTGCCGTCCGTGTGTATTTATTTGGTTTGAGTGCGTAGAGAGGAAGCGGCACGTCGTCTGGAAAGGGTAGGATCGGTGTACGAGGTTTGACTAGGCCTTAATTATAACGCTCAGCTGCTGTCATAACGCTAATATTTTTGGGGTTTTTGAAGGTTTGAAATTAAGGGTGTCGTGATTTAACGAAGACAAGCGAGGTTTCGGGTTAAGAATCGGTCGTTAAAACATTTCGACTTGTACGTTTCTTGAGTAAATTTATGCAATTTTGACAGAAACGATCTTTAAAAACTTGTGAAATCTCAAATTGGTTCAACGGCGTTTTCGTTACTAAAGGTTTTTCAAATTAAAATTGCTATTATAATAAACACCTTTAAAAATTCAGCTTTTTTTTTTTTAATGGTGCATTGGAGCGTCCGTCGCTTCTTTGTTGTCGCCATGGAAACGTTATTGTTTTGTCTGGAATGTTCCACAGTAGAGATTAAACCTGTATTTCAAGTTAGACATCTATAGGCGACGTTACGGGTCTGATCCGTGGAGAGGTGAGCCTATTCACAAACAGAATTATTGTATTTTTGAGCGATAGAAATGCTTGAAAAATGTGTTTAAAAGTCATACCATGGAACATTCTAGACGAACGAATAACGAACGAAAAACGAATGAATAACGAACATCTCCATGGAGTTACGCAATGCACCTTTTTGTTTTTTAAGTCAAATTTGTCTATAGTTTTGAGCGATCCTTAACAAAAAAAATTCTGAAACCTGCCTGTCTTCATTCTTTTTTTTTTTTTTTTTAATTTGTTCTAATGAAACTGATGTGATCTTGTTTGTATCCAGCCCTGTCATTTAAAAGTATAGATGTCTTAACTCAATAATGTTCACTGTGGTTTAAGAGCTGTTATTTCAAAACCTCATATAACAAACTTTATTTATTTTTTTTGTATTTATGTTTTCACTGTAACATTTATACTTTGTGGAATGAGGGGCTGCACGTGTTCGACTGAATGCACTTTAATCCGAGCGCTGGAGGAGCGGTGTGAATGTGTGAAATATAAACATTTAAATTTGTTCAACTATTTTAACAGTTTTTAATGGACCATTTTGATGCGAATAAATGCAATTTTTCCTGTTAACTCTGTTCTGTCTGTGTCTTTGTTTTTATATCTATATTTGTGACATGAGAAACTGAGAATTTCTCATAGCTGTAAGTTAAAAATGTACTCAAGTAAAAGTAACATTGCTTCAAACTGAAATTTCTCAATAAATTTTACTTAAAAATAACTTGGTCACTAGACTGCTAACTGCTTAGGAAAAACTGCTTAGAATTGTAATTTAAGGAAACAAGTAAACAATGGATGAGAAGAAATAGTGTGGAATTAATTAAAAGCAAAATTGGTCAGACTTGTGAAATTTGACATAATTGGATTAAAGAAATGACTAAAAACTGGTTCTGTGAAATTTGACAATTTGATTACAAATTACTTAAAAAAATGTCAGACTCTCAGCCAAAAAGTTACACAGTTCACCTTTAAGTAAATATAACTGAGTCCTACACTCCTGTTTCTAACTTACAAGTAACAAACCAGGACAAACTAACACCATGTTAAGCCTTTTCACAATATTAGTGTATCCTGTATAAAATCCTGTTTCTCTGGCCTCTGTTTTTCACTGTGAGCAGAAAAACATCACATCACAATCCTGGAGTGTATAACAAATAAAGATGTTTTTATTCTTGATATTGTGGATGAAAATACAGAAGATTAAACTCTCATGTGTTTTTCACAGAGAAATACAGAAGCTCCAGATAAGTCTGTCGAGTTTTGGTACTGATAATTTTACTTTTGCTGTGATGTTGGGTGTTTGCTGCCCTCTGCTGGTTAGAGATGGTATGTCTGAACTTTCTGCTGGTAATTTGGAGAATAAATAAATGTATCTCTAGTGATTATTTGTCAAAAAAACCTAACAAACAAAAGCGGTGAGCAAATTTAGAACTAAACAGAACTCAGAAAATCACCTTTACGCTCCGTGGGGAAGTAAAACAAACTCAATATCCAGATCCAGAGATGTATTTTACAACATTTATTCCAAGTTTTGCAGCAAACAAAAAGGATACATGTTCAAAAAACAAAACAGAAAAGGTGCTAAGGTAAATAATAACAAATTAGACTAAACAAATGAGCAAACATTTAACATTAACATAGCAAAAATGTATTATACAAATGAAGAAAAATGAACAAATTTTAGAATAATAAAAAAAAAGCAAGTAGCTCTTACATTATCACTGAAATTAAATAATAAAGGTCCTTATCCAGATTAGAGAAGCACTAAATATGAATGATTTGAGTTACTACACTAAATACAAAAGTAGAAAGAAAAATTTATACCAGCAAATTAAAAACTGTCAAAAATGTCTTAAAAATGTGGTTAGTTCTGTGAAATTTGACACAATTTGATAAAAAATGACTCAAAAATACGGTGAGCTTTATGAAATTTGACACAATTTGATGAAAAATGACTTAAAAAACATGGTTAGTTCTGTGAAATTTGACACAGTTTAATCAAAAATGACTTAAAAATGTGATTAGCTCCATAAAATTTTACACAGTATGATCAAAAATGACATAAAAATGTGATTAGTTTTGTGAAATTTGACACAATTTGATCATAATTTTTTTTTTTTTTTTATTTGATCAGAAATTTGTAAAAAATGTAATTAGTTCTGTGAAATTTGACACAATTCGTTCAAAAATGACTTAAAAATATATATCAAACAAAAATAGATACTTAGTAAACCTAAAATAAATGTGTCCACAAGATGACACTGTTTGAGTAATCTTTTTTTTTTTTTTTTTTTTTTTTACATATTAGAACTTTCAAGAGTCAAGAGAAGTTAAGAGTTCTGTTTCGTTGTAAAATAAAATACTTCCCAAACACTTCATTCCTTTAAAAAAAATCTCAATCGGTTGTCTTTATTTATATTATTATTATTATTTTTTTTTTTTTTTTTTAGTTAAAAGTGTCCACCGGAAGTTTTGTTTTCTTGTAAAATAAAATACTTCTCAAACACGCAACAAAAAAATTAACAAATACTTAATTCAAGTTAAATAAAAGTAAATGGTTTTCTGATTATTTCTGTGATTTTGCTCATTTATTTTTATTTGGTCAACCTTTCTTTTAAAAAAAAATAAAAAATCGCATTTAAATACATTTGATTGAAACGGCATAAACTCGATTTCTTACCACCCGCATTACATGTTTACCTTAATTACACCTCCCAAAAAATATTTATTTCAACATTAGGGACATTTTTGTTGTCTTTTTAACGTTTATTTTACATTTCTGTTTTATTTTGAAGCGCCAACCGGAAGTCTCTCGCTGAACTGTCAAACTAACGGTGGAAAAAAAAGCGAAGTGTCGTTTTTCTGTCATTATTTGTTGTAGAAACGCGTCAGACGAAGCTCACGCCACGAGAAATGAATCCAGGTGGGTCTAAACTCCCTTTTAAAACAATTTCTCCCGCGAATACTTCACTTTTAACCACTTTATTCCCCCGCTTTTCACTTTGTTGTTACAGATTTTCACGTCCGTTTGTCTCCAAAGAAGGACATCCCTGGCACCAGCAGCTCAACCAGCTAAACATCCCAAATTACGAATCGGATTTTTGGCATTTTTTTACACATTTTTTAATTGCTTTGCAGCCCGATCGTCGCGGGATTTCGGTGTGAAAATCATGGCTTTCTTCGCGAAAAAAAAGAAGTTTAAGTTCCAGACGCATTTGACGCTGGAGGAGCTGAGCGCGGTGCCTTTTGTCAACGGAGTTTTGTTCTGCAAACTGAGGCTCCTGGACGGGGACTTTGTGGCCACTTCGACGAGGTAAAAACACACATTACTGCAGAAAAGCACGGGGAAAATCTCATTCTTAAAGCCCAGTCAGTTGTCATTACAGTTTTTGGTTGTTTTACTGATTGCTTTGTGGGTTAACTTGAGACAACATTGAGTTATAAGTGTAAAATTGTAGTTGTAAAGTCAATTATTCTCATTCTTAAAGCTCAATCAATTATTATTATAGATTTTGATGATTTTTAATGTGAACTCAAGTTTTTTTTTGCCAATGCAGTGGGCTAAATTGAGAAAAAATTGGATTATAAATGTAAAAGAGAAAAAAAAAATGAAGTCGTAAAGTCAATTATTCTCATTCTTAAAGCTCAGCCAGTTGTTATTATATTTTTTGATATTTTTTAATGTGAATACATATTGTTTTGTGGGTTAAACTGAGCAAATATTGGATTATAAATGGAAAATTGGAAAAAAAAAAAGTAGTTGTAAAGTCAATTATTCTCACTCTTAAAGCTCAGTCAATTGTCATTATAGTTTTTAGTTGTTTTTAATGTTTGCTTTGTGGGTTAAGTTGAGAAAACATTGGATTATAAATGGAAAAATGTAGTTGTAAAGTCAATTATTCTCATTCTTAAAGCTCAGCCAATTGTCATAGTTTTTGATGATTTTTAATGTGAATTCAGATTGTTTTGTGGTTTAAATTGAGAAAACATTGGATTATAAGTGGAAAAGAGTAAAAAAATTATAGTTGTAAAGCAGCCACCAACCTAAATAGCCAATTATTTTCTATAAACATCTTTTTTTATGTTGATTTGATCTTTTTTTTTGTGAGTAATTAGTTATTTGTTACCATTGGACTTTTGCATTTTCCCTTGAGATAGTGGTATTTTTGATATAGTTTTGTTCCAATAATTTGCGGCCAGTTTAATACAATAATTTATACCGATTGTAACATCATAACACTTGAAAATCTATATAGAATTTACTATTACACTATTTTCTGATACATTTTGATGTAGTTTCAACAGACCTGGAGTTGTGTTGTGTTTTGTTTTAGTCACACATTTTTAACACACAACACAACACCTGCACATTTACAGACAAAAAACACTCAATTCCACCTTGTGATGTCATGTGGTAATACAGGAAGTGCTCCACTGTGTTTTTAAACACCACACACCTTCACTAGAATCATTTGGATGAATTTACAGCCCGGGAATTGCCAAATCTTTACTGAACTAAAAGCTAAAAGAAGCTGTTCACTTGAAAACTACCGCTTCATGACATCACAAAGTGGACCAGAGCGTTTGAGCTTTGAAGATGTAGACAAATTAATATAAAGAGTTACGAAAAAGTGTGAATGAAACAAAACACAACTCCAGGTCGTTTTTTGAGGAGGTAACAACATTATAACACGACTTAAAGCTCACAAGAGTCACATTTTACGTAATACTGGACCTAGACTGAAAATGTTGTTCATTTTCCAGATGACTAAACAGGGATTCAGCGTGAAAAAAGATGTCAAAATGGTTAAGCTCTTGTGCAAAAACTAAATGGAAGTACTAGTAATCAATAGTCACACTAAAACACCCGTTAACTCACGTCACTCATCCTCTTTCTCTTCCTTCTCTTCTCCTCATGAATGTTCAAGTTAACAGCTACATTTTTACCTTTTGTTAAGTAGCGAGAGATATACATGACTGAAATGATCCAAATGATTCTAGTGAACGTGCGTGGAATTTAAAAACACAGGGGAGAACTTCCTGTATCGACACGTGACATCACAAAGTGGTGTTTGACAGAAAAACTCAGTCTAAATGTGCAGGGTTTGTGTGTTAAATGACTCGGTCTTGTTTCGGTCTTGTTTCGGTCTTGTTTCGGTCTTGTTGTCTTGTTCTCGGTCCTGTCTCGGTCCTGTCTCGGTCCTGTCTCGGTCTTGTCTCGGTCTTGTCTTGGTCTTCAAGGCACTTGGACTCAATCTTGTCTCGATCTTGTCTCGGTTTTGTCTCAGTCTTGTCTCGGTTTTGAAAGTGCTTGGACTCAGTCTTGTCTCGGTCTTGTTGTCTCGGTCTTGTCTTGGTCTTGTCTCGGTCTTCAAGGCACTTGGACTCAATCTTGTCTCGGTCTTGTCTTGGTCTTGTCTCGGTCTTGTCTCGGTCTTGTCTCGGTCTTGTCTCAGTCTTGTCTCGGTTTTGTGTCTCGGTTCTTGTTGGTTTGTGTCTCGGTCTTGTCTCGGTCTTGAAAGTGCTTGGACTCGATCTTGTCTCGGTCTTGTCTCGATCTTGCCTCAATCTTGTCTCGGTCTTGTCTCGTCTTGGTCTTGTCGGTCTTGTCTCGGTCTTGTCTCGGTCTTGTCTCGTCTTGTCTCGTCTTGTCTCTTGTCTCGGTCTTGTCTCGGTCTTGTCTCGTCTCTGTCTCGGTCTTGTCTCGGTCTTGTCTCGGTCTTGTCTCGTCTTGTCTCGTCTTGTCTCGGTCTTCTCGTCTTGTCTTGGTCTCGGTCTTCTCTCGGTCTTGTCTCTGTCTTGTCTTGTCTCGGTCTTGTCTCGTCTTGTCTCGTCTTGTCTCGTCTTTGTCTCAGTCTTCTTGTCTTCTTGTCTTGGTTTTGTCTCGGTCTTGTCTCGGTCTTGAAAGTGCTTGGACTCGATCTTGTCTCGGTCTTGTCTCGATCTTGCCTCAATCTTGTCTCTTGTCTCGGTCTTGTCTCAATCTTGTCTCTTGTCTTGTCTCGGTCTTGTCTTGGTCTTGTCTCGGTCTTGTCTCGATCTTGTCTCGATCTTGTCTCGATCTTGTCATGATCTTGTCTCGGGCTTGTCTCGGGCTTGTCTCGGTCTTGTCTTGTCTCGGTCTTGAAAGTGCTTGGACTCAGTCTTGTCTCGGTCTTGTCTCGGTCTTGTCTCGATCTTGTCTCGGTCTTGTCTCGGTCTTGTCTCGGTCTTGTCTCGGTCTTGTCTCGATCTTGTCTCGATCTTGTCTGATCTTGTCTTGGTCTTGTCTCGGGCTTGTCTCGGTCTTGTCTTGTCTCGGTCTTGAAAGAGCTTGGACTCGGTTTTGTCGTGATCTTGTCTCGGTCTTGCCTCGGTCTTGCCTCGGTCTTGCCTCTCGGTCTCATCTCTGTCTCAAGGTCTGACATTCCATGAGTATCACTCATTCAGTCATTATCAAATGGAGATAGATTTATAAAAACATTGATGTATTTGTTCCAAAATAACTGTAAAACACAAATAAATGTCAAAAATTACAACAATGATCTCGATTTGGTCTCGGTCTTGTCTCAGACTTGACTTTCAGAGGTCTTGGTCTTGTCCTGATCTCAGGATCCTGTGGTCTTGGACTGGTCTTGGTCTCGATTAGTGCAGTCTTGACTACAAATATGCAACATTTGTGTGTTAAACGTGTGAATGAAACGAAACACAACTCCAGGTCTGTTTGTGATGTGGAAATATTTATAACATAGATCAGAAAACAGCGTAAGGTGGGTCCTTGTAAAAACGATATAAAAGTGCTCGTAAACAGAAATCTACAACACTAAAACTCCACTTAATTGTCTACATGCTTCTTCCTTCCTGCTTTTCTCCTCATGAATCCTCCTTCTTAGTAACAGAATTAGTCAATCAATACAAAATTTCGTCAGCTAAAACACCACTGACTAAATGACTAAAGCCCTATTTTCCTGGTGTTAAGCTTTTTTGGGTTACATACCATTTTATCCCTTTTGCATAGTAGGGAATTTAAATTTTTTTATGTTTTTCTCTCATCACAAACATACCTGGAGTTGTGTTTTGTTTCATTTAACATTTTAAAGATCCTATATTACGCAAAGCTGACTCTTGTGAGCTTTATGTCGTGTTATATAATGTTGTTACCTCATCACAAACAGACCTGGAGTTGTTTTGTTTGAGTAACTCTTTATTTTTAGTCTGTCTACATCTCCAAAGCTCAGAAAACAGCTCTTTTACCTTTTAGTTCAGTAAAGATTTGCAACTCCAGGGCTGAAATGATCCTAATGATTCCTGTGTATTTTGACTTTAACTACAGTATATGTGGAGCTGGTTTTTGCCCTTTAAAATACCATTGAAGGTGATTTTCTTAATTTTACTTGCTTGTAAAATTGAGACGTCTACTCTAACATAAGCAGTGATTGTGTTGTCTTGCTTTTATCAGTAGTTTTAACTTTTGACCTACATTTTTTTGAGACTAAACGGCTGATATCACAATTAGGCAACTTCTAATCGTTTATCCAGAATAGTCAATATAATGCTGCATCGTGTAACTTTTTGTTTAGGGGTCCGTCACCTTCTTGTTTCTATGGCGATGACACTGCTCTGCCTGGAATGTTCTGAATTCCGAATAAAAATAATTAAATTCTGAATAAAAATGTGTTCCGTTTTAAAAAGGCCATGTAAACACAAATTCCTGATGGAAAATAATTATTCGGAATTAAACTTAATTCTAAAGTAAGTGGGTGGTTTATTCCCATTTTAAAGCCGAATTAATTTATTCCTCGATCATGTAAATGTTTATTCTTCTTAAAAATAATCCCGGTCGTTCAGTTCATGCTCGTTGTGTCGCCCTTTGATCCGGGTCCACCAGTCGTGTCTTCGGACTTTCCTCCACGTCTCTTTGGATTTGTGAGCGGGATGTGGGAGTGGGCTGAGGTAGAGCAGCCTCACACTCACTTTGTCTTCTTCCTCCTTCTCCGACACTCTTCCCTTCTCCTCCTCAGCCGACAGACGTAAAGCGTGATGAGAGAATTCTCCAGCTGCTGCGCAATTATCATCAGAACGACTGCGGAAAAAGTTTAGATCGTGTTTGTGTCCGTGGAGTAACGACAAACCGAGATGACAGAAAAGCTGGTAGCAGCTGAAGTGTGTGTTTTCTTCCGGTCGACGTAAATACCTTCGTGTCTCTGTCCAATCAGAACCTTCCCCACCCCCAGACTCTGAACGGAATTAAATAAAGACGATTTAATGAGTTTTCCATGTAAACCTCAATTCAGAATTATTATTTCCATGTAAACACGGAGAAGAATATTTTAA